TCCTGTTGCAGCACAGCCGAATTTCAGCTACAGATTTGAAGTTGCATCTGAGAACTGCCTAACCCCTGAGCACATGGCGAGCCTGTCACTGATCCTGCGTTTGACCCACATTTTCATTAGTTTTGTTTGTTTATTTATTAAAATGTTTATATACCCTGCACATTAGCCAAATGGTTCTTGGAATGGTTTACAATAATACGCCTCAAATTCTCAGGGTATAAAGTAAAAAGGCAGGATGTGAATTTCTAGATGTTGCTTTTTTTTTTTTTTTAAGGAACTAATGTTCTGACTCATAAGACATCTTCATGTGTATTCCCCTGTTCATTTTGGTTTCCAGTCCTAGTACCATTCAGAATTGTAAATAGCATGAGTTTCCCCCACTTAAGAGCAGATCTGAAAGCAGGCTTGGAATTGTTTTAGATTCATATCTGTTTTTTCTCCTTTCAAAGGGGAAAGACTGCACACAACAAATTTACATAATTGCACAGTGCATTTTAGCAGCCTCATGTAAATGGATATTTGCTTTTCCTCGCTTCCATTCTTTGTCTTACTTCTCAAACCCATTAGTGCCATCTTTGGAAGCTACAAATATGCAAATAGTGATTGATAACTTATAAGGGAAAACTCTTCTTAGTGAACAACATATCTGGCAAATCTCAATAACAAGCAAAGCCCGTTTGCTTCCCAGAAAACTAGGAAGGCAGTTTACCAACTTTGAACCAACCTGGTGTAGCAGTTAAGCATTGTACTGGGACTTAGGAGACCTGGGTGCTGGTCCCCTCTTAGCCCCGATGCTCCCTGGGTGAACTCTGGGTCACTCTGAGCCTAACCTCTCTCACAGGTTTAGGGTAAAATGGAAGGAAGAAGGACTGTTTAATCTTCCTTGGATTCTTTGCAAAGAAAAAGGGAAGGGAATAATGCAATGATGAACAAAAACGAATGAAATAAGAATTGCTGAGTCTCTGTGCCTTGTTCGCTATGTCACCTGCAGCCATATTAGTTTGTTGCTTTGCCATGGTAAAACAACGCTCAAACTGCCTTACAGCAACCTCAGAAAAATTTACATATTTTTCCAAATAATTCTCTGCCATTTATAAGTCATAACAAAATTTAAAGTTATACAACAAGACTAATTAAAAAGCATCACATTAATAAACATGTACCAAGATTAAATGGGCCTGTGATAATTTCAACAAGATCAACAGAAAGAATACTAAAACACGTAAACAGCAGGAAGTCACCATGCAGACTGAGGAGCACGAGTGTTGCGATTCCATACCCCCGGAAGGTGCCCACTAAGTGTCTGTGTTTGTGGGGGCGGAGGGCGATATAGGTATACATCCCATCCATGTGGCTAAATTGTGGTTTGCAGCTCAACAGGATTAAAGAGACAGCTCCCCATTTTTTGTTTCACCAGAACATTAAATATTAGACAATACCTTAAGAATGATAGTAATGGTTGAGAATCTGGATGGTTTTAATCTGACAATGGTACATGCAATGGCCTTTTTGTCTTGGATGACGAAAACCCTGGAGAATTCCTGTTACACATAGGAAATTCAACCCTTTGCATGCCAATGCAGAAGTATGTCCCACTATGTCCAGTGTGTCTTAAACCCAGGAAAGTGTGTACAGGATTGCAGTCTAAATCTGTTGTTGGTGCTGTTGTTGTTTTGTGCCATCACGTCTTCTTCAGTTTCTGGCAACCTTATGAATGAAAGCCCTTCAAAATGTTCTGTCCATGACAGCCCTGCTTAGCTGTTCTAAATTAGCTGTTCTAATAAATAATAATAAATTCCAGGCATTGGCCTCATTTATGGAGTCAATCCATCTCATATTTGGTCTTCATTTCTTTTTCTACCTTAAACTTTCCCTAGCATGATTCTCCAGGGAATTTTGCCTTCTTACAACATTTCCAAAGTATGACTGCCTCAGTTTTGTTGTTTGTGTTCCCAGGGGAAGTTCTGGTTTTATTTGATCTAGGACACCCTTGTTTGTCTAAATCCACTGATTATAAAAGTCACCTTCTTTTATACTGAAAAGAAACATGGAAAAGCTAAGAAATAAGTGGCCACATTTAAGTGCTTTTACAAGGCTCCCGTTGAATTCCTTTTCACTCTTGGTACTAAAATTAATGGTGGGGGGTATACAAGTGCTTTAATTAACTGATTCGTTGCTTGAACAATGATCTTTTAAAGGGACACAGAAGCTGAAAAACGATCCTTCAAGGAAGATAATATTCTTTTTATAAGGCAAATCGAATGAAGACTTCCTGAAAGGAATACCATCCTCCTCCAAAATATTTGGTACAGAGGGACAAACCCCAGAGACCTTAATTCATTCTTTCAGTCAGTCCCAGCCAAATCCAGCCAAAATGTGATTATAGTAACTGAATTATTTCTATTCCAAGGCATATAAGTTCATTACTAGAGGTTAGAGACAGACTATTTAAATTTGCAGGTATTTTTTAAAGGTCCCTAATGACAACCAGGAAAGGAGGTCACCCATGTGAAAAGGAGTATTTTTTGCCTGCATGTTCACAGACAGGGCCAGATGCACATCCTCAACCCTGCTGTGATATCCAGCAGAAATCATGGAATTTCTAACTTCAAGCAGACAGGGATGTCTGTGCACCAAAATTGCTAAAGCTTGATCAGGATGCCTATATTCTCACTAACTTGGAATTCTACTATTTCAGCTTTTCAGCCAGTTGCTAGCACAAGAAGACAGAAAACAAATGTTGGGAACTTCAGCTGAGAGCTCAGCACTGATTGGGAGTTTTCAGCGAAGCTCCCCAGGGGTTCCACAGTGAGATGCTGGCAATGGCTGACAAGCTACTTAAAGACAGTTGTGTGCCGTTACAGATCTCCTCCTCTAATGCGAGCCACAAAGGAATGCTCTGTGATGCTTTCCCATTTCACAGATGACAGCTAAGATCAAGCAACCTGGCTGGTGTTCCCTAACTCATCCACACTCATCTTCTGCAACATGCAGGAATTCCAGAGCTGGCAAAGTCGGGTGACTTGCAGGCCAACCAATATAGAATTTACAAGCTGTAAGATAAGCAACTTCTCTCGCTGTGCTCCTGTCCTACTTTAATGCAACTTCAGGTACAAAATATAAAGGTAAGATACTAGCCTCCCTCTAAACCAAAGCTAGGGACCTTTGGAGAACGTTTGGAAATTTGAGAAGTATTCAGAGCCCCACCATAAAATGGCTGCCATGAGAGGGCATGTTTAATTGCAAAGATGAGTTAACATGCTGAGAGATATTCATACAAAATAAGCATGGCAGCAGCCAAAGTTTCCTTTTAAAACCATCCCATTTCTTTTCAAAACTACCCCACTTGCCAGAAAGGAAAGGAAATTATATTTTAAGTAAAAATTGGGAATAGTAGGCACCAAGGAAGTTGTCTGCAAGCATATTAGTGTTCATGGGTACTGCACTGAAGTACAGCTTCTGTAATCCCTTAGCACTGACCAAACTGGCTGAGGCTAATGGAATCTGTAGTCCAAATCCCTTAGAGGGCACCTTGCTGCCTATCCTTGCTCTAAAGCAACTCTCCCCAACCTGAACTGCAAGTCCTATCATCCCAACCAGCACAGCCAATGGTGTGATAAAGGACTTTCATAGATTTGTCATGTTCAACAGAAGAAATGGGTTAGTCTGAGAAGCTTGTGATACCTTGCATATGGACAACATCTTAGTCCTTTTTTTCTAGGTTAAGGAAAAGCAAATAAAAACTAGGTGCTACTTCACATGTGTAGTTCTCTCCCAGTCTGAATTCCAACACATACAGTGGTTGATTCTTAATTCTGCCTCTCATTTCCTGACCCAATAGAAGTTTGTGAAGAGTTACATCTCTGGAGATCTGCCCATGAATGCCAGGATCATGCAATTATGTCAATGTTATTGAATGAAGCATTAGTGAAATTAAAAAAGAGAGAGCTAGGAAACAATGTTACAGTGTACATTACAAGTTCATTAATGAATTTAAACTTTAATGATATGTAGTTTATTATATCTTATGGAACAGCTTGATGGCCAGCACCTGCTGTTAAATGAGGTGTTAATATTCTGCTTATTGAGAGGTGCACAAAATTGAAATGATTAGCAAGTGGGAATACTAAAGTACATTAGAAAAATAAGATTAGAATTTTATTTCTACTCCTAATTTTAGGCTGGGATTCTAATTGCCTGTCTCTCTTGCATGCATAGGGAAAACACACACATCACTCTAGAGAGACCCAAAATGGGTCAGTGGTTAGGGTGCTGGACTGGGAATCTTGGAGCTCTGGGTTCTAGTCCTCATTGAGCCATGTAGCTCACTGGTTGACTTGGATTGTTTTAATGTTAATTAATTGCTGCTACCATTTTACAATATTATAATTTTGTATTCTTATGATTTTCAATTTTATGGATCATGTATAATTATTTTGTATTGTTGGTTGATAATTTGCTTTAGGCTGTATCCCCTTCTCAATTATTTATTTTACTTGATATTGATAATTGGTTATTCCCTTCATTGGGTATTGTTGGTTTTACTGTTATGATTAGTTTCATTGTACTGGTTGATTTTATTGTATTGCATTGTGGCACTGATTTTATGTAAGCTACCCAGGCAGCCTATGGCTAATCAGATGGCATACAAATCAGATAGATAGATAAATAAATAATAGTAATAAATTAAGAATGTAAGAAGACTCCTGGAAGATTGGAGCCAAGGATACCCTCATTCAGTTTCCTCACAGTAGCTAACCGGGAGCTTTCCAGAAGTCCAAAGGCAAAACATAAAAGCAATAAGCCCTCCAGTGCTGTCAGCCTCCAGCAAGCAGCATTAAGCAGCATGGGGGTTTCATGGAGCTGCCACACCTAACAGCCTGTTACTCACCTCTGCTGTGGAAGGATGGTAACTCTAAGTTACAACTGTAGCAATTACATGGCACGGGCTACAGGCTCATATCATTCATTTGCTGGGAACAGAGAGTGAAGACAGTTACCTTAATAGGCCTTCCATCTGGTGTTAGCACCTCCTCGGACAGCTCCATCATCTTCAGGGCCATCAGGGCGATGGGCTTTGCGTGATTCAGGTTCTGCCTGTGGAGCCCTGCAGCAACGCAGTAAGCATCGCCTATTGTCTCCACCTGCAGCAATTAGAGAGATCAAATCCACAAGCATGATAATGAGCCAGGAATCGGCACCATTAAGTATCTGCAATCACCCAATGTTGCTTAAAAACATGCCAGCACAACATCAATAAGATAAGCTATTAGATGTGGGAGTATAATTATCCCCCAAGTTTGCAAATAGGCACTGTCAAATCCTGACTTCTCGCTGCACAGTTGTTCATCATTCCTGGGTAAAAAAAATCATTAAAGTCAAGGACAACTTATACTGTCGAGGGGCTGTAACAGCATTATATCAAAAGGAGCACATTTGGGCGAAGTGTGTGCCTACTGAAACATAAGCCAGGTGGAGAGCTTGTGCTGCTGTAGTTTGTCCTGCTGCAGAATAAAAACTTTCAATAAATACTAGTCCATGTTTTACACCAGACAGGCAACCTGGTGTAAAACATGAATGGGTATTTATCATTCTTGTAGCTTTCTACTACAACCCCCATCGCTTGAACATGCCTAGGGTTTCTGGGAATAGATTAAACAGCACTATACCGACCCCTGTTTTATAGAGTCTTGAAGCAATCAAGACTGTTATAAGAGAGGAACAAAAGCACCTGCTCTCAGCATCCCAATGAGTAGAGATGCCCAAATACACTCAGCGAGGCAACTGCCTCTCCCAGTTCTCTGGATTGTCCTTTCCTCCCCCATCTCGTGGGAGTAAATAAGTCAACAAAAATGATACTCCAGTAGACTTTAAGGTTTATTGTTGTTTGTCGCATTAGCAAAATGCTAAAGATGCAAAAGGCCAGGAAGCTGGGCAAATCAGGCTGAAGAAAGATTGGCAGGGTGGACCCAAGTGTCCTATTTTTGCTCATCAGGAATTCCAGACTAAAAGATAAGGGCTGGGGGCCAGCCAGACTGAATTTCGTTTGAGTGTTTCTTATTGTTTGGTATTCAGTCTCTTACACTTCAGACTAGCATTCTTAGAATTAAAGATGCTTGCTCAGGCTGAACCCTGCTTAAAGATCCAAAGACCTCTGACACAGGAAAAAAAATAATGAGTGGCATTCAGTGATGGATATTTCTCTCCTGCTTTTTAAAAGTAGAGATCCAAATTCAGAACAGCAACTTCAAACTGTGGAGACCTGAATACACACTTTGAAATTGTAATGGTTCTTTCTCATATCATCTTGCTTGTTCTTAGAATGCACAAGTAAAATTATAATTAGATCTGGCAGAAGAAGAACCTTTGTGAAGCAAATGGACCATGCATGTTCTACCCAATCTATCCCACATTTAACCCAAAACAAGTCCCACCAAGTTCAGGACAACTTAATTCAAGCCAAAAGTCTCAAAAGCCCATAAGCTGAGAATATAGTGAGGGGCTCCAAGAGAAGGAAGACCTTTCAAAACAAACTTTTTTTTAATTAGATACTGAAATGGTTGTTGTTGTTGTTGTTGTTGTTAAATGCTGCCAAGTTGTCTCTGACTCTACTAATGAAAGCTCTCCAGAATGTCTGATCCGTGACAGCCCTGCTCAGCTCTTGAGACACTCAAATACTTGACTGCATTTTTCCAAAGATGGTCCCACTGACACAGCAACTTGCTTAGCAAAGGAAACCAGAGGAGTGGCTAATTGTAAACTGTCAATTAATTCTGAAGTATCATTCTTTACTACCCTAATGATATGGTGACCAGACTGATTGAGAAGGGAATCTGTTTTAGACACTACAATGAAGGATATACCACTCGTGGGTTTTATGCTGGTCTATAATAAAAACAAAGATCAGAATTGCTAGTGTGATTTGCAGATATTCTCATTATTTGAAGTGAAGGAGATTCTTGCCTGGCATAGCAGTATTTCACCATGCTGCTGCCTGGACCCCCACCTCTTTCTTTGGCTTCAAAATACTGGCTGTAAATAAAATCAAAATGTAGACACAGGGGATCATACTTATGGCAGGTCTGATGCACACCTTTTCTGGCAAAAATCAGACAAGCCTAGCACACTGAAAAGAGCAGCTGGGGAGGGACTATGCTTCCATTATGGCCTGGTTTCTCACAGCAGACTCTCAGTTAAAGCTTAATAGACAATTTAGATTAAAACCGTTGCAGCTGAGCACTCATCAGTATTTTAATTTTTATTTCTACTGTGAACAAGCTCTCTGTTAAACTAAGCTTAAATTATAGCCATGTCAACGAATAGTAAAAAAAAAAAAAACTTTAATGCTTAATGTGAATGCGGAGGATTTCTTATTAGCATTACATTAGCATTGCCTTGCCTTTATAGCCTACCTTTCCTTTTCTTGCAAGGAACCCAAGGTAGCTTGCACAGTTGTCCTCTCCATGTTTATCTTAACAACAACCTTGTGAAGTAGGTTACTCTGAGAATCCATGACTGGTCCAAAGGCACCCAGTGAGTTCCATGGCTGAATGGAGACTAGAACCTGGGTCGCCTAGGTCCCCAGTCCAACACTCTAGCCACCACATTAGAATGGTGGTGTGGGGTACTTGTTACTTATTTATTTATAAAATTTGTATGCTGTCCAATTACTTGCATCTCTGGACGGCTTACTTCATAAATAAATTGACCATCCACACTGGCTGCAAAATAAAATACAACAATAAAATTCAATATTAAAACATACTAAAATATTGATTAAATAAAAAGGTATTGACCTGTTGCCGAAAAACATATAATGACGGTGCCAGACAGACCTCTCTGGGGAGCACATTCCATACTTGTAGGGCCTGAGGTGAAAAAACCCCACTGACAGTTTGGTTTCTTAGCGTCTTCTGGTTCAGAGTTAATAATCCAAAAGCACAAGCCAAAGAGGATGGCCATAAATCTCCAAACTTGGATATTGTGGACATCCATTGGAAGAAGGAAAGAGCCTGAAGACATCACCACCTTCCCATTCCTCCTAACTGCATTTTAGCTAGGTAGCTGTTTTCAGCCATCTTCCTATGGCGCTTCAGATGGGGGGACAAAGGAGGTTGGGGGCACTCCCAGGATGTATCTCCACCACACCCCACCCACTTGACTCTTGTTGGAGTTACTCTCATGACCCGTGGTTCTTTCCATGCCAGCTGAGCTCATGTGTGGTGAAAGAAGAGAGTTCTGAGCACAGATCCCAGACCAAGTTTGGAGCTGTTTATCCAGCCTTGGGACTCTAAGCCATCCTATGCCCCTCAAGATGTTGCCTAGGGGCCAAAGGAGAACACAACAGAAATCTGATCCTGGTTCAGGTGAGGTGTGGATTTGATTTAGAGTTCACAACTGAACAAATACCCAAATTTAAAGAGACACATCTGAAATGTCAATTCTGAAATGAATATCACAGTGCAATGCTGCTACTCTTTCTAGAAATAGCTTAAATTACAATTATTAGTACTAAATTATGTATTATTAACAATGTGCATGTCATTTTACAGAAGAACATTATTTTTAAAGATATGTTGGTTCCTAAAAAAACCCCCTAAACCTTAGAGTACATAATAGGACACTAGTATAATTAGGTTCACTCAGAAAGTGCCTATCTTGTGACATTTAGCTGTGTCTAATGATGTTATTAGTAACTTGGCCAAGTTTCCATCTGAGAAACAATGCAGAAGAGTAATCAGTGAGGCTTTTTTCCTAGTATACCCAGAAGGATCAGATCAAAGGTTATCTAGTCCAGCATTATGTCCCCATGTGGATTCCCACCTACAAGCAGGACATGAACAGAATACTGTTCTTCCACTCACACTGCCAGCAAGTGGAACTCAGAGGAATAATGTATCTCATACTGGACATAATATCTAGCCATCAAGACCAGTCATGGATAGCTGTTCCCTCCATAATTTCTTCTAATTCCCTTTTAAAGCCATCTCAGTTGGTAGACATCATGTGGTAAGAAATCCCAAGATACTCTGCATGGCATAGTCAATGTCTTGATCTATAAATTACTTTATTCACCAAGCCAGATTTTTCCAAAGTTTTAACAACTTCACACTTCTTGTCTTGTTTATAATTAGCAGCAACCTCACTCCATCCACCACCGTTATCACCCTCACTGTAGGTGACATGTATCATCTGGAGCTGCTTTCACGTATTGAAAGTTACATTTTTACCTGCAAGGCCGAGGCAGGCAAACACTGGCCATACATCTAAGTGTATGTCAGCAGTGCACCTGGAAGTATTGGGAAGTACTTCTGGCAAGCTGCCCTGCTTTTCCCCTCCAAAGAAATTTATCTCTTGGGACTGATAAGGCAATCCCCTCCCTTATGGATGTAATAAGCCATGAAGGTCCACAGTGAAGCATTCAGGTAATTGACTAAATCAGGCCAAGCAGTTCATCTGCATTTTTTGGGCCTCAACAATGGAGAGTCATCAAATAGAGCTAGAGCAGGAATGCACATCATCAGGGGTGAAAATGGCCTAATTTTTGAAATGTCTGCAAAGTTACTGCAGGTTCCACCATCTCTTTGCAGCAGGCCACCAATAACGCCAAAAGTCCCTCTGCTGGATGGCCCTGAGAATGTGCAATAGCAGTCGTGAAGGGCCCCACTGCAACAGAGTACACGCAATCGTTCGCCTGTGCTACACGCTCCCAGAGTGGGAAGGCTGTTCATCTCCCACTCGCCTCTTTTTCTCTTTGCACACCTGCCATTGGTTGCTAGAGTTCTTTAGGGCAAAATAAAACAGTGGCATGCAATCTTTACAAAAATGCTAAAGAAAGGAAGAAATGAGAGACTTTCACCATTACAGTTGCTTGAGCCAGAAATGCAACCCGTGGACTAGAGATATTATTATTCACATGTACAAATGTTGATTTTTCCACCCCTACCCTGCTTGTTTCTGTGTGGTTTGCAGCGGCTGTGCACATCTCTGTTCATGTGTAAGGCTGTGGAACCATCTCTCCCACTCGGTGGCTGAAAGGCCAGCCTTAACATTACGTGGCTCCCAAGACAACAAGCATCCTATAGCACCGAGCAACATTTCCTCAATCACCACATAATCACTCTTATAAGAGCCTTTGGTGAGT